AATTCTGCCTTAGCTGGTAGAATAGTATGCAAAGCTAGACCACAGTTGATTTGATCGACAATTACACATGCTGTCTAAAATAGCACTTCCCAGATTAATATGCAAATTGAAACAGTACTCCTACAGTACATACAGTACTGTATGGCAACATTTGGAAAAGCATTGTTACTGATTCACCAGTTTCAAAGAATAAAAATAGATATTTATGTAATTTCCCTCTTTAAAAAGAAGGCAGGCTGGTTAGAATTTGAACAGAATGAATAAATGCAGCTAGGAATTGGATATGTGTTGTCCTTTCCTGTGGGGTTGAGGAATCAGGTGTATGCCTAAGGCAGAGGTCTTCAAACTTGGCCCTTTTATAACTTGGGGACTTCAACTCCCAGAATTCCTCAGCCAGGCGTGCTGGCTGAGGAATTCTGGAAGTCCCCAAGTCATAAAAGGGCCAGGTTTGAAGACTGCTTGCCTAAGGTATCCATCCTTAAAACTGCCTGTGGCTTTTTTTATTCACAGTCTGCTTATGTGACAACCTGGCTAGAAATTGCTTTTTTGCATACCGCCTTGTACCGTTGAATAAGAACAGGCTTGGCTGTGTCAGGTTTCCTATGAAAATAAATAGACTTCCCTTTGATACTCTTCCCTATCCATAGTAGCATTGTTGATAACCCTAGTAAAAGAAATTTAAGAGAAATGTTAAGCATGGAGTCTTGTTGTAGATCCTTCAGCTACTGATGAACTAGGAGATGTTCATTTCTGAAGTTAGCCTGTGAAAGCTCTATAGGTAGCACAAACGTGATCTCTGCTGGAATATCACTTACAAAATATACTCTCTAGTGACTTGTCTTAAAGATTTGAAATCTTGCCCCTTTGAACTTCCTGTGAAATTGTGGTTCCCTCAGTCAGATTGCAGCTAGTTTTCTTTTGTGCTTTGAAAGCGTCGTACGTTATGAATCTTGACCAACTTCCAAAATTGATTTTGTCTCTACCAATTCACCAAGAGGAAGTCTGTATTTATTTTTCTTATGTATTTATTATTCATATTACTCAGCAGGCCACAGGTCTGGCAGGTGCCTACCTAACCAGTGCTGCTTTGCATCTGAATTGGGAAGTGGAAACTTAAGTTGTGCTGCTATCAAGTTTTCATATAGTTGTCAAGTGAACGCTTGAAGGCAGCTAAAATCTTTTGACCTCCTTTGGTCTACTGGTCCCTGTAATTGGCCTTTAGTAGGGATGGTCAATATGCACTTGTCTTGTCATTAAAAAAATGAATATAAAACTGCTCCCTTTGTACCAAGATCTGTCGTGGCGCAGTGGTTACAATGCAGTATTTCAGGCTGACACTGCCCACTGCCAGGAGTTCAATCCTGACAGGTTGACTCGGCCTTCCATCCTTCAGGTCAATAAAAGTAGGACCAAGAATGCTGACTCTGTAAACCGCTTAGAGAGGGATGTAAAGCATTGTGAAGCGGTATAGAAGTTAAGTGCTATTGCTATCTGACAGCTGAATACTGGGCCCATCTAGCATAGCAGATAATCCTGATCATCCAGTTGGATGACTTTCACTTTCACTGAGATTTAAATGCAAGTAGTTGATAGAGCCATCTCTAGTTCCTCATGCTTAAAGAGGGCTTGGGCACTGTGTGCAGCAGTGTGAAGTTGTGATACGGAAGAACATTTCATTCACAGGATAAAAAGGCAAAATCCGCCCAGGCATATTAAAACTTTTAGAGCGGCCACATTTTTTTTTTTTAAAAAAAAGAATTTATATTTTGTGTTTATCCTACTGTAATCAACCAAATCTTAGTGGCCAAATGAACAATTAGATTGTTTCACATGTCTTCAAAAATAGTTTTTAAGAATGTTGTCAAGCCGTATAGGTAAGATCTAGAATGAAGTTATGTGAACTGAAACCATTCGGTTCCTCACTACAGTTGTGCAAGGATTTGTAAGCTTGATTAGGACTTAAACGGAATGTTCCTATGTGCTACACATCAAATGTCTTGGACTTCACTTCTTACTGGTTGATGTCCAGAGAGAGGTTTTTAGTTGGAATTAGGGTAGATATATTCCATCTTTTATAAGCTGGGTATAATAATCAAGTGAAGTTAGATCTCAGTTCCCCAGGATGATGCCCTCAATGTATTTCCTGCAGTGTCCATTGAAAAGGGAGGATGAAGTGGCAGTACCAGTCTCTAGTGCCATTTTTATTTGGAGGAATATTTGGAAGATCTTGTGTGCCCGAGTCATTCACAGGAGATGAAAACTCTGACCCCTGCCACCCAGTTTAAAGTATCTTGTGAAAGACGGACACAGGACATTTTATCTCTATACCCAACTATTTGCTTAGCATTTAATCTAAGCAAGGCACCATCAGATGGATATCTCTATGGTAGTTCATCAGGAAGCACCTATCAAAATTATTTGTGCGTGCTTGATATAGATTCAATTAAGCGGGAAATGTAGTTCTTACTTTCAGTTCGGAATTGAAAAGGGGTACAGGTTGAGTTCCATGTGATGCTCATAGAAACAAGGAGACAGTCTCAACCGTCTTTTGTAGACATGGACCTGGTTTTGTAGCAATTACACCCGATTTAGTTGAACAGCTACATAGCCAAGGAAGAAGTGGACTAGCAAGTGTCTGTCACTTGCTGGGCAAACAGGTAAGAGACTTCTAGCTTGCAAAGCCTCAGGTGATAGGGCCTGAGACGGCCTGCAGGCTTCGAAAACAAAAGGCAGTGAATGATCAACTCTGTATTTAGAATTGTGCCTAGCAAATTTCTGTGTGTATTGATTACCTACAGTAACACAGCCTCTACACGTATTGGCACTGCAGCTTCAAGAATTGAAACCATCAAAATGGCTGGGTGTTTGGGACATTGTAGCATGGACATACCTGGAAAAAAAGAGGGCGAAATATCTTTTGGTATTAGCACATCTTTGTACTTAAACACTTCTTTAGTATGTGAAAGCAGAAATGAAACATGACCTTGACCAGTGAACCAGACTGCAAATGCAGAGTCTCTCGAAAAGACGCCCATGCAGTAATTTCCGAGCTGTTTCCAGAATAGTTGTATTAGAAGCAAGTTTGCTTAAAAAGGCCTTTTCTGACGGGGCTTTGATTTTACAAATAGTAGCCCTGTCCTAGGAAGCTGGAAGGTGTAAACATATTCATGGCTAAGTCGAGGATTCGCTCAGGATTAGAGACATTAATAAAAGCTGAACGACAGAAAAAAAAACTGATGGTCTTACAACTTGGCTACTCTCAGCTGGGAGAACTTTGCTCCTTTCTGGGACTGTTTACACAGAAGAGCAGATGATAACAAGCCACATTTCTAGAAAAGAAGCATGACTGGAATCCTGTGCCCCTTTAGCAATGTGTTTATGTCCCTGCTTTCAGTCTGGTTTCTGTAGCACACAGCCTCAACTATGGAGAACCTGCAGTATACCTAGTTAGTGTACTAAGAGTGTTGAAGAACCTCAGACAGGACTCTTCCCTCCTCCCCCCTCCCCCAAAGATGGCTTATTTCTAATTTCTAACGATGGTCCTAGCATGCTTTAACAACCAAAATGCCCTGGTGGGGCAGGGTGTCCCAAAGCCTCCCGTAGCCTTTCTATTGTTGTCTTTAGTGAGAACTTAACTGCAAGAAATGGGTGGAGGAGGCAAAGTCGGAGACAACAACTCTTCTGAGTTTCTTGTTTGTGATTGCCCTATTCCAGCTTCCAAAACTGAAACTGGCATTTTGAGAGCCACAATGAAGGATGGTATTAGATCACACACTTTTTCTTTAAATGAGGCGTGGTGGCGCAAGGGGTTAGAATGCAGCATTGCAGGCTAACTCTGCTCACTGCCAGGAGTTCGATTCACACCGGCTTGAGGTCGATTCAGCCTCCCATCCTTCTGAGGTCGGTAAAAGGGGGATCCAGATTGGGGGCCATATGCTGACTCTGTAAACTGCTTAGAGAGGGCTGTAAAGCACTGTGAAGCGGTACATAAGTCTAATTGCTGTTGCAAAATGTTGTGGATGAGGTTGGGACACAAGAGCACACGTTGGCTTGTGCTTGGGTAGACTTTGACTTATTGAAGGTAGAGAAAACAAGCTCAGCGAGTTGAGTTGGTTATGTAAGCAGGCAAATTTCTGCCTCTTTCCCACATGACGACATTGATTTTCCCCTTTTTTGTTTTGAAAAAGAGTTTGATCTCATAATGTATTTTGAAATTACGCTGTTGCTCAGTGAATGAAGCAGGGGCGGGATCATTTTTGCAGCCCCCGCCAGAATTTCTAAAAAAGTATAGTAATGTGGTTTCTTGGCTTTTGGAAAATGGGATGTAAGTGCTATGTAAACTATATTCTTAATATCATTTCAAAAGAAATTCCTAACGTTGGCCAGGATCAAAAAATCCCAACTTCGCCTCCCTTTGTGAGAAAAACCTTCCCATGTTGCTCGTTGCAAACTCCTACCTTTGTAAAGCTAAAGGGAAACAGTTGCATCCATACCACCATCAAATAGTAAAGGAATATTAATTGGACTAAGCTTGGGCATTATTACATTTGAAGGGGATAAATATGTTCTCCTTAGGATCACCTTCTAGCTGCCCAGAGTCTTTGACTGAGATGGGTGGTCATAAAAATTGAAGGAAGGAAGGAAGGAAGGAAGGAAGGAAGGAAGGAAGGAAGGAAGGAAGGAAGGAAGGAAGGAAGGAAGGAAATTTCAAGCATAGATTTGTATATATAAATGACCTGACCATAATTTAACAAAAGGGACACGATAGAGAAGCTCTCACCTGAGCAGGTGTCTTAGTGTTTGATTAGAGCAGGGGTCTTCAAACGTGGCCCTTTGATGACTTGTGGACTTCAACTCCCAGAATTCCTCAGCCAGCAACTCTGGGAGTTGAAGTCCACAAGTCATCAAAGGGCCACGTTTGAAGACCCCTGGATTAGAGGCTTAGTTTGTACCTTCGTCTGGGCCTTTGCTAGGACTCACCTGTCTCTCCTCTCTTGCAGCCTTGGGCGCCGCTTACGGCACAGCGAAGAGCGGCACAGGTATTGCTGCCATGTCGGTCATGAGGCCAGAACTGATCATGAAGTCCATCATCCCAGTGGTCATGGCGGGGATCATAGCAATCTATGGCTTGGTCGTGGCAGTCCTGATTGCCAGCAATCTCGTGCATGACATCTCGCTATTCAAGTAAGTTCCTCGGAGAAGCAGGGCTGCAGAGGTTCCTTGCAGGCTGAGGGATCATTTGACTCTCGATGGAAAAATACTAGAATTGTGGTTATAAGTCGAGGACTCCCAGTACAGCATTGGGTGTTGTGTTCTTAACATTGTGCAAAGTGACAAACAAAGGGTCCATCCCCCTAGAAAGACTTTTCGTCACCTTTTAGGGTATCATTTGAGACCTGAAGTGTTAGTAGGCCCAGCATTAGGGATCTAAAACTTGGATTTATTTCCAGAACTGACTTTTGACTTGAGTCTGACTCTGGTGTCTTTTCTTGCTTCTTTCATTCATGAAGCAAAATCCTTTAAAACTAAATAAATGATAACTAATACAACACTTCAGCATTTAATTATTCAGAGATGCTTAATTGAAACATGTTGGTAAACTAATCCTCTTGCTGCTACATTAGACATGCCCAGAAGTTTCCAGGTGTGCTTAAAATGGGCTGAAACACAATCGGCTTTAAATTTTCATGAGTTGCTGTAGTTGACTAGGGGAACCCACTCATGCCTGTCCCTTCAGGAATAACTGTATTGCTTTCTGTAGCTTTCAGTCTCTCTTCTAGAGGTCACAAAAAAAGATAAGATTAATTAGAAAGGTTGAGAAAAAATAAACATGAGTGCAAAACCGGATGGTTGGTAGTGTCATTGGAGGAAAGCTTAAGAACAGTTTGCCGTGAACTTGAAGGAACAAAGTGTTTTATTCCTGACAAATGAGACTTGGCCAATGGTATAAAATTTGCCAGATTCGAATATGAGATAGCGGTAGCACTTAGACTTATATACCTCTTCACAGTGCTTTACAGCCCTCTCTAAGCAGTTTACAGAGTCAGCCTGTTGCCCCCCAACAATCTGGGTCCTCATTTTATTGACCTGGGAAAGATGGAAGGCTGAGTCAACCTTGAGCTAGTGAGAATTGAACTGCTGAGAGTTGGCAGAATTATCCTGCAATACTTCATTGTAACCACTGTGCCAGGATGGCTCCAGCTGCCATTGTCATTCCTGTTGCTTCAGGAAGAGCCCAGCAGAGGTCCACCCAATATTTATTTATTTGTTTCACCTTTTTCAACCTCCCTTAGATACAAAACCATCATGTGGCTCAGTTAGTTCATGACGTACATTCTTTGTAAGCCTAATGGTGGCTTCTTCGACAAACCATTGAGTAGCGCTATAGCAACCGTGTTTGCGTACAGAGGTTCAGCTGCAAGTGCACCTGTTCTCCCAGCAGCAAATCCAAAGCAGCAATGAATTGGCAACTAGTTTGCAGAGGAACTAGTGAGTAAATGCAGTGACATAAGTCAGCAGACAGTCCTAACATTTATGAGATGTGTCCTGCTGTGACAATCTCTGAAATGTGTTTTGCTTTGTCGTTTGCTCTTTAAGGAGCTTTGAATATTCTGTCAATCTTCCTCTCGCCATGTAATTCTTCATAACCGGAAACCCTGCATCAGCCTATCTTTCGTACTCTGGGCTTCTACTGAGCACAGTTACATAGATGTGAGGTGCTTTTAATTACCAGCACTCTGTCACAGGAGAGCAAACAGGAGCCCACTCTGCAGGGAGGTTTGAGGCTGGCCTTGGTGAAAGCCACCCAGCTTTTTAGGAAAAAAGCCGTTCCAAGCTGGATCCTTTTTTCAACAGGATCTTCGGCGCCTGGACGCTGCTTTCCAAGATACCTTGTTGGAGAGCACAGGCCTGGGGTAGGAAGTTAACTTCCAGAGAGGAAGTCAGATTCTTTCACTTCTCCTCCAGAAAACAGTCAGGCTTCCCTGGTTGAAGCGGGTTATTTCCAACACGCCATTCAGCTTGTCTTCCTTCCCTTCCCTTACAGGAGCTTCCTTCAGCTGGGCGCTGGACTGAGCGTCGGCCTCAGCGGTTTGGCCGCCGGCTTCGCCATTGGCATTGTGGGTGACGCAGGTGTCCGGGGGACGGCACAGCAGCCGAGGTTATTTGTGGGCATGATCCTGATCTTGATCTTCGCCGAAGTCTTGGGGCTGTACGGCCTCATCGTTGGCCTTATCCTTTCCACAAAAGGGTAATCGGCGCAGAGTGTTGGTGGAAAACAAAAACAAACTAAGTTCCAGAATTTGGAGGGGGGGGGAAAGGTCTCTCCAGAAAGGTGTACAGTTGTCATCAGTTTGGTAGTTGATCTCTTGTAAATGCGCAATGTATGTGACTTGTCTGTCCTCTGTGTACTTCAACATGAAAAGCAGGAGGGCCTGCCACAAGCCTTTCCCACAAGGCCTGGGGGAAGCGCCTTTGCCCTTTTCCATCCATCTTTGCCATTAGAGCCCTTTATGTATAAATATAAACTAGAAAACGGTAACTTTTCCCTCTCTCCATTGGATGTTTTATTTATAAGACTTGACATGTTCACACATAATGGAACAAGAGTTTTCAATTTTCCATGCTCTTCTCTCTCTACACCCACCCACCCACACACACACACACATATATATATATATGTATATTAATCTCATGCATAGATAGATTACTACACTGTGGGGTTAACTGTAAGTGCAGAGAAATCTTTGGATGTAATTTGATTCTCAATGATTGCTGTCGTGTCCTGGTATCGGAGTGTGAGGCCGTTTGTGTTTATACAGATAACAGCAAAAAAAAACGTCTGAGACACTCCTGTGTGTTCCCAAGTAGTGAAAACTGTATGCTCTGGCATCAAAACGTTGTGCAGCCAATGTTGGATTTTGCAGTAATACATTTCCAGGTAATAAAAAAATTCCTCCATTATACCATTGGTCGCACAGTGTGTCTTGTTGTGAGTTGTCTCGAGAGGCGGGTTCTCCAAACCCTGATGCCATCCAGCACAGCCATCCTTCCCCTCCTATCCTGTACTTGTGAATGCCTGGATCTTAACTAATAAACAGGGGAGGGAAGAAGTCGTCCAGCTTTTATGAACCAGGTCAGTCAGAAATCTCAGAGCTGGGGAACCTTGATTAGTTTTAGCCTTAAATATAGTGGGACATTAATGGGTTGTGTCATTCCAGCCCACTGGGTTAATTTGGAGTGGGTGGTATTGAACAAACCCAGCAATTGGAGTAAATCCTTAGTAGGGCTAACTAGGTTCTGAAAATCAAACTAGGAAATAAAAAGCTCACGAAGGCTTAGCTTCCAGCCTCTTCTAATACTTTTAATGTGGGATCCTTAGTGCTCTCTGAGCTTGGTGGTTTTCTTGCAGATGTTTCATTACCCAGCTAGGTAACATCAGTATTAGAAGGGAGTGGAGTATGCTCTCTGTTTATATACAAGTGACTTGTACGGTCAGTGTCAGTACAGGTAGGGCAAGCCAGTTGTATATAAAGGGTTGGGTCTCAACCCATGAAGTCTAATTTGGAAAACGGGGGGGGGGGTTTGAATTACAAGAAATAAATGCCTCTCTTACTTCAATGCTAAGAACAGTGTGGAGAATACAGTATTTTGCTTTTTTTCCCCCCCTTTTGCTTATTCAGATCTATATCTGAATAAACAGATCTATACCTAAATAATCAGATCTAGTTTTCTTTCTGTATACTTGTGCAGGAATTTTTCTGGTGGACGAGGTGGAAGGAGGTGTGGAAAAAATGTAGCACTTCATAAGGCTTATATAAGTCCGTTGGGTATAGTGGTGAAGGCACCAGGTTACAAACCGGGAGACTGTGAATTCTAGTCCTGCCTTAGGCATGAAAGCTGACTGGGTGACTTTGGGCCAATCACCAGGTGATGGCGAGTCCCCCGGTAAGGCTAGCCACGCAGCCCCCCAAAGGAGGAATCGAATCCCTGCATTATGTATATTCTTGGTATTTCCCGGATTTTCAAGTCACGGACAACCCAGTGACTCATTCCCGGTTTTCCCTCAGCTTTGCAAGCTTCACAGATGGAAATAGATTGAGCACCACCCTCCACTGGCCAAAGAAACGCTTTTGGGAGGATGGGGATTACAGCTTATTATTTATTCCTTCATCCCATTTCTGTCCCGTCCTGCCCCTCTCAGTGACTCTTCGCCTTTGTCCATTTAAGAAAAAGGCACGGGCAGAGGGATCTGCAGGAGATAAAAAAAAAAAAAAAAGAGAAGACGCTCTCAACAAACCTTCCAGTTTTGATTTTACACCAGAGAATGTCTGCTGCAGAGTGAGTCAGCCCTGCAGAGAAGAAGGGGAGGGCAGGAGAAAGGGGGAACAAAGCAGCAGCAAGAAAGAGAAATAAAACCTCATCCACAAGGCCACCTAACTGCTTGGGAAGAAAACTTAAAATAGTCTTTTCTCCAGGATAGTTGTTGGACTTTTTTTTAACCCCCTGGTCTTTCAGGGAGTTAAATCCCAGATCCACATGGGACATAATTCACAAGATTTACCTATGCAAGAAAACAGGACCTATTCTAATGCATTTCTCCATATTCCCACTACCTGCAAAGTATTTTAGGCCAGGAAGGACGTATCAAGTGATAGTCGGCCTTGCTTTCATACAGCCGCCTGCTCCACTCTAGATCTAGTTCCGTGTTTTGATGTGGCTTTTGCGGAAGTGGGGTGTGTTTTCCAACGTTTGCTCATTCTGGGACGCCCATTCTTGGTCTGGGGTGTGAGAGAGCCCCCGAGGCCAGGGCAAAAAAAGACAAAAAAACGGAATCAACAGTCTCTTATCAGTAGGCGTCCAGAGCTGTTCCTTGTTGCTGAATGATTCACGTTGGGCCTCGTGACTTGGAGTCAGGCCAAGAGATTGGCTTGTGTGATCTCCTGATCTGCCTGTCCTAGCCGGAAGGAAGGCAAGGATGTATTTGCAAACAGGCTGGGTGGATTAGCATAAAGCAAAGAGCAATCCTGCGCTTTTTTACTTTTGGAAAATAAGAATCCTGAGGCAGAGAGATTTATCTCCTTTCTTAGCCCAAGTATGTTTTTCTCTGAAGATGGCGAGTCTAAGCAAAACAGCGAACGATAATAAAGCTTAGCCAGCAGCAAACCATCTGGGTTATCATCCCAACAACCCTTTCAAGCAAATCTGAGAAGGGTTCTGGAGATTTTCCTGTTTTGCTTTGCAAGAAAAGGAGATGGGTTGGTATGGTTTCATTTCCCTCAAAATGCTCAGTTGAAGCAAAAGAAGAAAAAAAAAAAACGAAAGAAAATGTGGCCATGAGGCTCTAAACCCAATTAGCACGCTGCTTGGTTTGCAGCTTCTGCCTGAGTCAGCCGTGGCTCCTGTCTTTGCTGCCTTCGTCACAAGGATGTCAGAAGCTTTGATTAATATGCTGGTCTACGGTTAGGAAACCCTTTGAGGATGGAGACCGAGTTCTTAAGCAACCCAGAGCAATTGCTTTTGCTGGTCATTTCAGACTGCTGCAGTGGGAAACTCTGGCATGTATTATTATTCTGTTATGTGCCCTTGATGCTTCGTGGTGGTTTTCTCCTTCAAAACTCCCCTGCAAAATCTGTCTTTGAGATGGAGCTGCCTGACATTAAAATGGACATACTTTCCTGAAGAATAAATTAAGGGGTTGTTAAACCCACACGGCTGTGTGTTCTCTCTATCTCTTCCTTTCTCTCCCAAATGTAAGTCTAGTTTCATACCACTAAATTGATTTATCCCCGTTTCATGTTTTACTTCTGCATTATCTGTTCTACTTTTATCCACCACGGGGAGGGAAGAAGTGAAATGGATAGGTGTACTTCAAACAGCATTTTAGGGTTCTGCGGGCTGTGCATGCACATACTAGACTCAGCCACCATGAAACAATACAAAACAAGATAATTTCATGTAGTTAACATGCCACACCCTACACTGACTGTTATAAATGCCCACATTTAGATTCCAAGATCCTTGGGCTGAATTCCTATTAAGAAATACTGCAGTCTCACTAATGTTGGCTTAGTATGATGTGTGACCACATCTGTAAAGATTTAGTGTTCTCTGTGAATCAAGACATGATATATGATGTATAAAACAGCATCACTTTGAAAAAAAACATTTTCAGTACCTATTCTGCACCTTAATTGCTAGGAATAGATTCTTAATGGACAGAAACATTCATCTTGCATATTAACAGGGTCTTCAGAAGAATGACAGTAAAAGCAGCACAATCTGTTTCTACACATGCACGTTGCATAATGTATTACATATTACAGGATTCCAAATTAAAAGAAGCTCTCATACAGTTTAGGAGGAACTCAAAAAACTTTATTTACCACTGCTGTTTTTGTACTTCATTACAATTTCAGCAACTGAGGATCCAATTGATTGCCAGGGGATAGAAATGCAACCGATAACTTACATCCCTACGTAAAATGTTTTTATGGATTTTTAAATTACAGCTTAAAATCTAACCAATATTATTGGGAAGGAAATGGATGACGCATACATTTTCTGAGTAAGGATGTGAATAAATCGATAAGACCTGCAGAATGATAGCTGCATCTGGGACAAGATGCAAAGAACACCAGAAGCATGTTGGCTTTTGACATTCATTGTCTTTGAACCAGTTCCTAATTGTTCTTCCACTTTTTCTCCCATCTCAAGGATTGGAGAGCACAAAGGCAGATGACCATAAGCATAAGCATTTATGCCTATGGGCTCTGCTCAAAACAAAAAAAAACAACAGCTTTTCTTATGAGTGTATTTTATTAAAATATAACCTGGCCCCCATCCAAAGCTGAACATCATCAGTAAAAAAGAACAAGCTATGTTTGCATCACATATTTAATCTGGTTCCTAGATTAACCCATTAGCCTAGGACAGGCGTGTCCAACCCTGGCAACTTTTAAGACCTGTGGACTTCAACTCCCAGAATTCCCTGGCAAGCACAAAACTGCCCTGCTTGGGTGTCTATGGAGATTTTTTTTTAAAAAAAAAAAAAACCAAAATGACGCAACTCATCAAAAAGCTTAATGACAAAACCGATGGGAAAGTATTTAAAGAAAAAACACAAAAACCACACAACAAAATAGCCCAAAAGGTAACCACAAAAACCGCTGTCCTAGGCTAGCTTAATGAGTTAATTTAGGAACCAGGTTTAATATGTGATGCGAACATAGCTTGTTCTCTTACTGATGATGTTCAGCTTTGGATGGGAGCCAGGTTATAACCACAAAAATGATGGAAAAGCCTTGAATAAAAACACAATGCAGGTAGTCCTCAACTTACGACCATAATTGAGCTCAAAATTTCCCTGGCTAAGTGAGACAGTTGTTAAGCGATTTTTGCCCCATTTTACGACCTTTCTTGCCACTGTTGTTAAGTGAATCACTGCAGTTGTTAAATTAGTAACAGGGTTGTTAAGTGAATCTGGTTTCCCCCTTGACTTTGCTTGTCAGAAGGTTGCAAAAGGGGCTCACGTGACCCCGGGACACGGCAACCGTCATAAATATGAATCAAGTTTCTAAGGACCTGCATGTAAATCAGGTGATCATGAGGATGCTGCAGCGGTCGTAAGTGTGAAAACCGGTCCTTAGTCACTTTTTTCCCAGTGCTGTTGTAACTTTGAACAGTCGCTAAATGAACAGTTGTAAGTCAAGGACTACCTGTAATCCAAAACGTTAAACAGACACACACACACACTTCTTCTTGTGCCATATCCGATATCGGACATTGGCGATCATGTTGGCGATCCTGTTTTTATCAGCAGCCGCACGAAAAAGTGCTGCTGAGTTTTCTCTAAATCAGTCCCTTAGATTTTGAAGCCACAATGTTCTTCTTCTGCCTGGACCTTGTTTGCCTTCCATCTTTTGTTGGAGGATTAAATGGAGTATGCCATATTTTTCTGGGTGTC